TTTCAAAGGAGAATCAGTCGAATTTTGAATGTGGCCCGTCGGCTGTTGGAATGCTGTGCTGATTTGAGAAACTCCGACAGCTGAAAACCGAGCCGGATAAATTTGTTATTTCCTTTAAAAAAATGTCGTCGGGGGGGGGTCTCGACAGCGAGTTATGAAACGAGAAGAAGAAAAAAAATCTAGTATTGTGTATGTGTGAAAAAATTGCTAGTATGTTTGGAAATGAGTATTTTGTTAGATTAAAAAATGCGAGATTATTAATCGTTTCCGTTAGAACTCAATATGTTTGGAAAAATTTGAAAGGTAGTGCACGGGGTCCCACAAAATCTTTCTGTTTTGCTAGCTGAATAACCCCATAAAATTTTAACGCATCTTTTCAAAATGCATTTCTGCGTTGTATGTCTTGTGTTTCTTTGATGATACCTAAATTTTTTAGCATTTCAATAAACTTTAGACGACAAAGTTGAAAATAATTGAAATGAGATACTTATGAGAAAAAAGCATTTGTGTAATTTGACACGAAAATGTTCAGTTTTCTCGTGCCAAATAAAACGGTATAATTGTATATGAAGAAGAAGTATTTTCACAAATTTTGCCCTATAATTATCTCGTTTTTAGACATCTTTTTTGCTAATTTACGAGCTCGCAAAAAAAGTTTCATAAATCAAATCATTTTCCTATTCTAAGCACAAAAAATGGAAATGCTTTTATAGGAAACGCAGAAAGATCGCCAGAAACAACTAGGAAACCAACTGGAGAGAAGGGAAGATTACTTTAGCCTAGTTATGGAATTTTTCGTTTCAGATCATCTTCGGCGATGAAAACAATTTTAACTGTTACGGTTCAAATGGTTAACGTGATTACTGTCATGGTATTTAAAAAAAAATGCGTATCAAAGCGTATCAATGTCTACCGTAACCCTCCCTTCTCTCAAGTTGGTTTGCTGGTTGTATCTGGCGATCTTCATGCAATTCTGGCGGTGGTTCTTCGTAACCAATGTAACCTTCCTCATTATCAGACGCTTGATGAACTGTGAATCAAAAAGAGCACGTCATACTGTCTTGGAAAACACTTCAAAGTTCAATTGTGGTCAAATTTTTGAACGAGTGATAGTTGAAAAGAAAGGAAAGCTTTCTGTCGTGACGGCATATTGGGTGGTGAGCCCCTAACCGTACGGATGAGCAAGAGAGCATAAAATTATCTAGTTTCAGATGAGAACAACATTAAGCCGTTTAATTTTAACTAATTTATTAAACACAAAAGAGTTATCGGCTGACTCCCGAATGGAGCTTTATCTTCTTCCGAGTTGTCCTCGTGGTCCATCCGTATCCATCCTTGTCCCTCGGTGGTCGAGCTGCCGTTGAGTCGTTCTTCGTAGACTTGAGCCGATTGGAATGGAACGAATGTAGACATCTTTTCGTTGGTTTCTTCAGCTTATATAGCGACGATTGATCAGATCGTAGATAAGATAAGATGATTAAGCCACCGATGTGGTTGACACGTTGAATAATACCGAATGTATATTTACTAAAAGTTGAGGAAGAAATGGCAGGGCCATTCCTTCCGCAACACTCGGGGGCCGAAATGATGAACTTTGGAGATTTTCTCCATAAGTTCATAAGTACCGTCAGATTTCGGTTTCTCAAGACCGAACGTCTGCGGTTTCTAAGCGAGTGCCCACATGGCAATTTTACTTTAGCTCGAACAGCCATATCGGGATAATTCTTTATTGCTTCTTGAGTCGATCCCACAACGCATCTTCATGTTTTCGGTGTCTCGAATAGACATAAGCTTTCGATCTGTTCCAAATGAACGTCCTTCACGAAAGTGTCCTTTGTTGGCAAAAATTTTCTATCTTCATGACGTTGAGTCATGAGACGAGCATTCCGACACAATCACGGCGATTACACATTTACGAGTGCGAAGGCAAGTTGCAGACCTGGACGCTTCAGGTTGCGAGATATCCACGACGGATGGTTCCACAGTTCCACATACTGACATCATGACTCGGTGTCCACCGCAACTTGACTTAGACGATTCCGTCTCCCAGTTCCGTGATTTGTAGGTGCTCCCAGACTCCAACGACTAGCGATTGCGACGAATTTTTTTTTCTTCCAGAGACGATTTGGTGGTGGTTCCTTCGGTGTTGTTTCCGATCGACTTCTAGTGTGTTGCCACATCGCCATCCTGACGACCCCACACCAGACCATTGCTATCCACGAAAGTTCCGAACGAACTATTTCATCTGTTCCGAATGAACTTGTTGTCTCACTGACTAGATAGCTGCTCTTGCCCCACCGGGGTCCTTTACCGTACTGACGATTTCAGATGGTTCCCGGTCGATGCACCATGTCGTGACGGCATATTGGGTGGTGAGCCCCTAACCGTACGGATGAGCAAGAGAGCATAAAATTATCTAGTTTCAGATGAGAACAACATTAAGCCGTTTAATTTTAACTAATTTATTAAACACAAAAGAGTTATCGGCTGACTCCCGAATGGAGCTTTATCTTCTTCCGAGTTGTCCTCGTGGTCCATCCGTATCCATCCTTGTCCCTCGGTGGTCGAGCTGCCGTTGAGTCGTTCTTCGTAGACTTGAGCCGATTGGAATGGAACGAATGTAGACATCTTTTCGTTGGTTTCTTCAGCTTATATAGCGACGATTGATCAGATCGTAGATAAGATAAGATGATTAAGCCACCGATGTGGTTGACACGTTGAATAATACCGAATGTATATTTACTAAAAGTTGAGGAAGAAATGGCTGGGCCATTCCTTCCGCAACACTTTCCTTGTGATAACTAGCTTCTCATGGTCCGAAAAGATTTGCAGGCGGCCTAGGAATTTTTTTTGTTGTCATCGGATTGGATGAACACATATCAGCTGATGCAACATTGTTAACGTCTCAAAATTTTAAAGTTTAGACGGAGCGAAAAAGCTCGTGTCAGTATGGCATAAATTTGTCTTAATTGGTAGGCTGTCAATGATTTTGTCAGTCCCATTGCTTTAAAATACTATGAAATAAGGAAATTCAAGTTTTGCAAATGTTGATCGGTTGGAACACTTTGAATAAAAACACGAAAATGAAAGTGGTCGTATCATTGTGTGGTAAAATAAAATGAAAAAAAATAATTTTAAAAAAATCGAATTTTCTCGATTACTCAGCAAAACTCAACTTTTGCTGTATGACGCATCATTTTTGAAAAAAATTCTGCACTATTAAAATGAGATTTCGAACATGGATAAGTCTTTTGAGAATTTAGTGGTGGCCGTATAATTATTTGGAGCACTGTGTTGGGTTTCGGGTAACTTTTTCATTTCAAATATATTTTGTAATCCATGTGAACTCCCGTTTTTTTTGGTCTGACTATCTGGCAACCCTTATCATTTTGTCTAACTGCCTAGACCCCCTTGCTCGTTTTGTCTAACCATCTCGCATCTCGTCTCGGCTCGCCTAACCACCTAGATCCCCATTTAGTGTTGCATAATGACCTTATCTACCAGTCTCGCTCAGTCAAACCACCTTGTCCACATGTTTTTGTTTAACCATTTTATATACCTATCTCTGTATTCCGTCATGTTGTAGCTAGTTCATCAGATACCACTAGGTCATTCTGACGCCAGAATATCGGTCACTGTATAGAAATGCTAGACGAACTGCTAAACGTTCTAAAAAATTCACAATGGGAATTCTTTGAATGAAAAGATAGGACAACCAAAAACTCTGCATGACCATTTTTTCGCCAAATTTCTGAGTTCATTTCTTTATCAAATCTCAAGTTACCGAAGAGTTACCGAGGATTGTAGAACAGTGGCATTATTGATGGAGGTCATTGGACAAAGATAGGAAGTGTGAGAAATATTGGGATGTCCCTCTTATTCTCTCGAGATGGGTTGAGATTCCGCAGACTTAACCACATAGCAGATGTTGTGACGATGAGAATACACGCAACAGGACATATGTCTAACATACACACACACAAACTGTGTAGTTCAGTTTGCATACGGCAGAGGCCGCGACATTGTGACACTTGATTAAACACTATCGGTTTTTTGCGTTGCTCATCTCCCCCACATTCTATGTCTTCTTCTATTATCGTTTTGTGCTGGTCGACTAACTATCTCATTGCCACGGTGTCCGTCCTCTATATAGTTGAGGTACTATGAAACAAGACGAGACGCAGTATGACATCATTTTCTAAACGACGCTCCGCTATTACATATGCGCGTGTTGTTTAGCGTAAACCAACAACATCATATTTTTCGTACTTCGGTTTTAGTTCGTTGAAATTAACGAGAAACTTAGCAACTATTACTAAAAAATAGTTTCAGAATGGTGCTTTATTCTGAGCATCAACTGGCACATTCCTCAAAACCATGCATTAACATTCCCGAGGACAACGATACTATAACAAGACAAGTAACGGTGAGTTTTCGATTTACTTGTATTGTCTCTAATGATTATCAGGATTGGTTTTGCAGTTCGAAGCTCTTCAAGTTTTTTGCGGAGAAATGGAGATGAACTGGGGACCATATATAGAGCTGAGAGCCGAAAAAACCAATAACGACGGGAAAACTCAACTCAATTGGAAATATGGGCAGGACCCTCGTGTGGAAATGTGAAAATGATTTTATGCGTACCTGCACATTATTTTTGGAGATTGATCGTGAGTTTTAATCAAGGCGAAAAAAATAATGATGTCCAGCAGAAAATATTACTGAGTTCTTTTCACAAATAATCTGATAAAATCTCGAAGATATTACTGGAATAAAACTTTAAAATAGGTGTAATAATTTCTGCCGCGTACGAAACTATTTAAAGCAAATCTTTTTGAAAGTCGTGAATTCTTTGCTGCTGGTTATTCTCGTTGCGGTCCGCTGGCTCAAAATTTCAACCCCAATCCATGTGCAGAACTAGAATGAAAACACTACAACGTTTTCAGAGCCGAAATAAATTTTTTGCAGAGGAGCAAAGATGAAGAGTTGAAAATTTACCCGCTGCTGTTCACGTTCCAATTAGCTCATGAAGGTCATAAACACCTTCAAGAGAACTACACAGAAATTTATACATCTGTGAAGAAACACCATGAGTCTCGAAACAAAGAATATCCGGAACTTATTTTTGTTGTTCTGAATCCCTCTGTTTTACGCTGGTACGAAGATGGAGAAGAGGTATACAACGTGTGGTATTCATCTGCAGTGGAGAAATTTCACGAAGAGGTGAGTTTAGAAAAAAGAAAAACAAAATGAACTGAATTATTGTCTCAGTGTGCAGTATTATTTAAAAACGTTTCGAACATTATCTTAGGCCCAAGTATAGATCCTGGCACAACATTAAAACAGAGGTTCCGTGTGTTCTTGCGTCTGCTGAAACCATTATGTTATCCCAGAACATCTATTTTGCATGATGTATTTCATTGTATTTTTCAATTTTCAGTTCGATGAGCACTGGTTCAAGCATATGCAAACTCATATGGATAGGTTTCCAGATCCAAGAATGGCTCACGCGCCAATGGGTATGTTGATATAATGCCTCTTCTACAAGATCTCGATATTTTCAGAGGAGTTTGCTGCAGAAGATTTGATGCATCTTACAAAACGATTCGGCTTCCGCAATTACGACACAGGTGAAGGCTATGTTCGAACTGTTACCAACAGAAAATTCTTACCGAGAAAAGAAGGGAAAACGAAAAGTCAGTCAGATTGTTTCTGTGTAGCCCAAAATGTGTATTTTCAGAGATGCACCATATGACTGCTAAAGCCATAAAAGCGATGGAAGTTGAGATTGAAAAGCCCCTCATGGATATCGAAATGGAAGACTCAAAAGTTGCATTGAAGCAAACGGAAGGAAATATTGAGAAAAAAATGGAACAGGATGAGAGAAGGGATGGTCACGTTTTCAAAATTCCAGCAATACCCATAAATGAACCAAGACCGTCCGAGAAATTTATTAAACCTGTGGAAGAGCAAAGAAAATCATCCGATGCGACTGAACAAAAGCCACCAGGCTCACAAGATAATCTAGATGACGAAGAAACCGAGGACGATGGGAAAGACGTGTCTCCCGATGGAGTGATCGTGTATCCAGAGAACTTGAATGATTTTTTCCGCCACATGAGAGCAAAGAAAAACCAGAAAAATCGTCTTCTCAAAGAGCTTGAAGATCGCGTTGTCAAGGAGAGACCTGCTAGGAAGAAAAAAGTGGACCATGTTGCAGTAGAAGAAAACATTTTACCCGAGGGCGACGAAGCTGATGCCAAAGATACCACTGATGCAAAACCAACCCTTACCGAAAGAGACCCGTTTGACCAATTTGCAATACCGCATCATTGGAACATGCTCGGTTCATTACAATCAGATTCAAGCTGTCAGCCATCAACGTCGGGATTACAACCAGACCATCGTGGACGTCCAAAGCGGCAAAGACAGGGTTTGTTTTATACGCTCGAAATGTTACATTCATCAGAACGTGTAAATATTTTGAGAAAAACTAACTACGTGAAAAATCTGAATGCGTTGCTTTTAGAAATCATTGATTTTTTTAACAGAATTTAAAGTTGTTTTGTTTTCAGAGCCTGCCCAAGTGTACAAGCCCGAAAAAATCAAGTTCCGACCAACCAAACGACGATGATAAATTTTATGTCTGAGTTCATTATTTATTTTGAAGTGCACGGTCTAAATACTTTTGAAATCAAAAAATTAATGAAAGTGTTTTAAATAAATTGAGAGAAAAGTAAAAGAGAGAGAGAGAGAGAGAGAAAAAGAGAAAAAAAAGAGAAAAAGCGAGAAAGAAGTGATATCTGTTTACGGAAATCACCATCAGAAGCATACAAAATAGTTAATTATGGTAACCATTGCTGAAAACGTTCCTAACATATGGACACAATGATTCATGGTGAAGTCCATCGGTAAAGTTTCGACAGTATTTACAACGATAAGGATCACCACTGCAATTGCAACGAGTTTTCAAGCAAATTGTGCATTTCCCTGAAGAGACGAGATGGCATAAGCGCTCGATGAAGCTAACAGTATTCGGACACTGGTCGTGTTCGTGTCTGCTGCCACAGTATACACATCTTCTGTCGTTGGTATGGGAATAATCTCTGCTCACAATCCATCGTTGCCCTCTTGCTGAAACGTTTGAATCGTGGTCATTTTTTTGAGAATGAATAGTTTTTGTAACTCACTAGGGTAATTACTATTTCTAGAAAATCTTGAAAACTTATCGAGAATTCTGGCTGAAACACAATAAAATCATTAAAGGAAACTGCGTCACTTTTTACCAGACTCTCTGAGGTAAATATCTACATCCTGTCTTGCTGGTAGCGTTTGCTGAGAATGTCCGTCTGAATGTTTGATATCATTACAATATTTTAATTATAATAATTTACCATTCTCACGGAGATTAGGATATGGACGGTAGGGTGGCGATCGTGGTCTCTCCTCATTTCTTGGAGCTTTAAAAATTAATTTGTTCATGATTTCGATAAAATTGAAAAAAAAACTAATAGAAATGTCATGAAACTGTAAATGCCAATTATGAATAATTTCAGAAGCCGATTTTTAAATAAATTTTGAATTTTCTCATGCCTTGTTACATTCTAAAATCGTGATTACTGAAATCAATCAATATAAAAGACAGTTCCGAAAAGTTTACCAGTTTCATAACGGTGATTATATGAATCGCAGTCTGGCGATGATGGTCGTGTATCTGCTTGTCTCTCTGTAAAAATATAGGTTTTTCAAAATAGGTCAACACAAAACAGAAATGTTTACCACTTTCATAACGGTTATTGTTTGAACGGTAGTCTGACAATGATGATCGTGCTTTTCTAGCTGTAAAGATAAAGATTTTCAATAATAAATTACTTTGAAAACACGAAAACGTTGTGATTTCAACATGTTAGAAAGGTATGATACTTACAATTTTCTTCGTAGTCGTTGTATGAACAATGAAATTGCGACGGTGATCAATCCCTCACATCTCTTACTGGTGACCAATATTCCCCGTAATCATTTGAGTAACTCGCATTTCGGTTTATTGGTGATAAAGACCTTTCCTCGTATCTTCTCCCTAGAAATACCAGTGGTTTAAGCATTTCAACAATCAAAACTAATGTTCATTTTATTTTGAAGTCACATAAAAACCCTAAAGGTGACGATTTTGGTATCTTATTATTGCAAGGGGTATACCGGTGAAGGTTATATTTTTCTGGCTCAACTAACTAACGTCAAGGATTTTGGGTTTCAAGTACATTCTGAATTTTAGAAAAGAATAGATAACATGGAATTGAAACGCGTACCACTTTCATAGCGATCGTTGGTTGAACGATATAATGGCAATGATGATCTAGCCCTCGCATTTGTATCTGTAATAAGGATGGTTACAGATGTGGAAAAAAGTTCCTGGAAATACCAAAAATATTGGTTATGCATTTCAACAATGAAAAATTAGCTGATTTGAAAAATCTGCTAAGTTTGGAAAATGTAATGTAAAAGAAAAAAATGTACGTCCTACGTTTTTTTTTCAAAAAAAATTCTTGTAATTTCAGTAGTAAAAAATGAAAAAAAAAATACAATTTACCGTATTCTTCGCGGGAATTGAAATGGCGATTCATATGTGAAGGTGATCTTCGTTCAGTTGGCCTCTCTGAAAACATAAAGGTTTTTGTATTCTTTCCAACCCCTTATAACGAACCACAACTAAAAAAATTACCGTTTCCGTAGTTGTAGTTATATGGACGGCGTACTTGCCATGGTGATCTATCTCTTGTATTTGTGCCTAAAAAATAATAGGTTAAGGTGTTGTATTTGCTGATAAAATGTGTATGTTTTTTGTTTCGTTTTCAGAAGACCCAAAATATTACAATATTCGTCGCGACCGCTCCAATGTTTGTTTACCGGGGATGTTGATCTCTCCCAAGAGTTTTGAACTAGAAAAAACGAATTTGTATGTTTATTACTTCGGTTTATTTTTAGGACAGGTGCTTCTCTCTTTTTCAAACAACTCACTCAGTCTCTTCTTTTTACTTTCTGCTCGATCTTCTTCAAACTGGACGCGGTCAACTGAAAAAAATTAAAATCCGTCGTTTAACATCCATAATTATCATACAACATGTGCATATGAAAACTCACACATGTTCCAATCTTCGAGTTGGTACCGGAAACGATATTTAACGTTATGGAGATCCAATCTAATTTTATCTGTCATCTGTCCTGAACCTTCAAGTTCTCTCAGTTCTTCTTGTTCTGCTTCCCGTACGAGACAGGAATGCAGTTCCATTTTTTCTATATATGGTTGTTGATTTCGAAATGCTTCCATATCCGGAACTCCCCAACACGTCGATGCCACGGATACAACAGAAGCCGATCGACTCATTTTCTTGACTTGACCATCTCCCTGCGCACTTTGAGTATCGATTATTATTTGCAATTCTTTGTTTTCAATGTGCAATTTGTCGATCCAGTTGGCCATAACCAACATTTTTTCTGTATTCGGCTCTTCGCCTGAAACCGATATTTTGGTTGGCTATCAATTAGAGCTACGCAAAAACAAAAAGTCAAGAAATATAGGCGGTTGATATTGTGATTAGTCATTGTCTTATTAGTCTGGCTTGATTTTTTTCACTTACAAGTCTTCAAAAAGTTTCTCAAAGAGGTTGTATCAATATTCAGTTTTCCGTTGTCATCAATCGTTTGGAAGTTTTCAAGAACCAAAACCGAAGAAATTCCTCCGGGAGAAACACTCTCCGAATCCAATGATTCCTTATGCAGTTCTTCATCCTTTGAGAGGTGTTGCCTTTGATCGGTAACCGTTACGTTTTCTATCAGCAGTCCGTGCACAATCTCTTTTTCATTTTTGTCCGATACCGAAGATTTTCTGCTTGGGAAACCTCCGTTATCAGATTCGCTCAGAATCCCATTATCGTCAATGATTTCAAATTCGGACCTGATGAACTATGTCTTTTTTCATCTGCTTAAGAATTACTTACAATGAAGCAGAATCAGATCTCAACAGCTCGCTAGTATCCATCAGTTGCTTCTTTGGTGAATAAACAACTGAAACAATTCTTTTTTAAGGAAAAAAAAAATTGTGAATAAAAGTATTACTAAAAAAGCAATGGAAAACGCGTGGCAAAGAACCAATATTTTCAGAAAACACAAAAAGCCACATGACTGCGTGCTGTTCGCCTGTTCTTTCTCTCTTTCCCTCTAGGGAAAGAGAGAAAGAAGAGGATAACTCAGGCGAAACTCGGGCGAAGGAGAATGAGGGCATGGGCGAAAACAAGAAAAGACTATTGGTGAAAAGAGAGGGCTTTAGACACTGAGCTTGTGAATAAACAACTATTTGTGACAAAATGTTGTGTTATCAAAGTTCACCTTTGTAAATATGTTTTTTCGTTGTGAAATACTCCGTAGAACACCATACAGTCAAAAACTTACAAATAAAACTGTTAAGAACTTCAAACTGTCTACTTATCACATTCGAAATGCAAAACATATGCTGGCAGTTTTGCATTTGTCGTTAATATACAAAAAATTTCTGAGAGAGACACTTCTCACTTCACGAAGTGTTCGGTTACATAGTCACAGTTGAAATATTACAACACAGACTATCGCAAGGGATTGTGAATCTGTAAGAAATGTTAGGTTGAGTTATTTTCGGGTAATAGTAATTCAACAAAAGTTTTTGAAAGTTTTGCTTTCGTCATCAAGATCGTTAAATTTTTATGACACTTTTTAAAAGAAAAGTGTGTATGAACACCCACCAGAACTCATAAAACAATGCAGGGAACATAATTTTTTGTTGAAATCTTGCAATATAAAAGAGAGGTGCAGTTGAAAAATTATCGTTCTATCTCGAGTGAAAAAACTGAATGATATTCGAAGTCCCAACTGGCCGTTTTCCTGCGAGCACCGATTTGAAAAAATCGAAAACTTCGACCAGTCCGTGGGAGAAAAATGTTCGCAATCAAATTGCAACAATGAACAAGGCTCTTGGAACCATGATCAAAGGTTAGTTCTCTGATTTTTGTGATTCCCAGAGATCACTTCAAAAAAGGATTTTGTGTATTCTCAAAAACCTAGGCTAACTATAGACAACCTCAGAAGAATGTTCTTATTGTCCACTATGAACATTATGAGAATGGATTCGATCAAAATCACTGCAAATTTTTAAAATGAGGAAACTTTTTTTCAGAATCTTCTGCGTTGTTAGACTGCTCCATGCTCAAGATCAATTTTCATGCATCTTCGATGACAGAGAGGGCTCCAAGATTCCCATCCCATTTGGCTGAGGCAACTTCGCGCATTCTTTCTGGTTCCTCCATGAAAATGAAATTGTGAACTTATACTGGCAATAAAGTTTGAACATTCCCAGTTTCTTAACTTACTGTTGAACAGAGATGCAAAACATGCACCACTGAGTAATCTGTTGTCAGAATTGAACTTAATGTAGGAATTCTGAAAATTCCAATACATGTCCCACAATATCTGTGAATTCGCTGCTAACTGAAAGTGATCATGAAAAAAGCAAAAAAAAACGAGTTTATTCTGACTTTACCAAAAATGCAATTTTTCGAGTATAATTTATCTAATGTTTCTTATTTCTTTTCTTATCCACTCCATGGACCATTGAATGAACAATAGAAAGCCAGGCATATCCAAGATAAACAACAAACATACAGGAAGCAATAAAAACAAAGCGGTATGGTGGTTCCAACTCTCCAAGAATCGGGTATGCCCAGAAGCCAGAAGTGTAGAAGACGTAGTGAAGACTGAAAACGTTTTGACGTTTTTATTTAAATATCTGATTGTTATAAAGCAGAAACAAGTTTATCTAATTTTCGTTGCCGAATTTGGAGAAAACACTTTCGTTTCGACAAACTCAGCAATTTAAAAAAGGAAAACCACTAATATGCTTTCAAAAGACTGTAGTTTGATTTCAAAATGTGTTTTTGTTGTCGCTTCTTGATCATAAGATCATTGATTTACTCTGCTCATGAACTACATATCGAATAGTTTTTTTTTTCATTTTTGCCAGAAAGCGCGTCACAAAAATACCAAAAGCAGACGAGTCACTTGCTGCAAAACAAGGTTTCAAAGAGAGTAAGGTGCGTAGCGGCAATTATTTTAGTAGTTCCAAAAAAAGTGTTTGAACTCTGTCTGGAGCAGAATCTACTAAGGTTTTTTCAACCAAAAAAAACCAACTCAATAAGGTACAGAGTGACAAACACAGCAATTCCTTTCAAAATGGCGCTTGTAGAGAAGGAAGTGTGCTTGTAAATAACAGTGTCCAAGTGAGCAGTGATAGCTGGGAGTGTGTGCTGCAAAATAGTTTTTGATAAATTCAGTGAATTTCTCAAAATTTTGTACCAGTCCATGATTGAACCAGGCGATCGACAGAATTTTCATGGCCATTTCATCACGTGCCAAGGTAGCTGGATCAAACAAGAAAAGTCCCCAGAAAAGAACAGTGACAGCCTGAAATTAGAAGCATGACATGATTTTTTATTAGAAAGTTGTATCTGATGGTGACTTACCACGCCGATTGGTCCAACAAGAGCACGGGCCCAGTAGTCGAAAATCACATGGTTTCTATTTAAGGAGAAAATCGAAAGCAAGAATCCAATTGAGTGGTACAGAGTTTGCATATACTGGAATAGTTACAGATAAAAAATGCTACTGATGCTTAAAGTAGTGTGTTCTACTCACCAGGTCAATAATAGTAAGCCAAACAAATCTGGACCATCCGTTGAAAGGGATTGGTAAATTTGCTCCCGTCACTATTTGAGTATCCTTGTAGCATATGAATGCATAAAGGGAAGCAGAAACCAAATGGAAAGCAGTTTTCATCTGAAGCATTTTGCAATAAAATTGAACAGAAACACAAAGAGATGAGTTGAAAATAAGAAAGAATTGTAGTTGACACCAGCATGAAAAGATAAGGAGTGACATCGTGGAGAAGAAACAAAAAGAGTAAGAGAATGAAGAGAGCGAAGGGAACGGCAAGAGAAGGCTACAGGTAAAATATGTGTTGGTATGTGTGTATTGTATGTGCCTCTTATCGGGCATTAATCGTGGCACTAGTGACCTTGACAAACAACAATCCACAGTGATTTGTAGTCTTTTTTCAAACCTGGAAGTACGATGATCAAAATGAATACCAATAAAATTATCGAGTATTATTGAATTGATATTAGTTCAGCATTGAAAAGAAAAATGTTTGCGAAACTGAAAAATGCAAAAAATAATGAACTTTGCTCAATTTTTTGCTCTGCAAAATAAACTCGCTCATTCAATGTTCAGGAATTATTATAATTTCCTCTGAAATTGGAAATTAGTTCGAATTAACTTTTTGAAAACAATTTACATTCAGAGGGCAGACTGAGCGGCCCTGGACACCACCTTCTAATAAAAACGTTTTTTGAGCTGAAATCCAAAAATAGAATGCCACCCTTAATAGAATGCTGCCTCGAAAAATATTTTAAAACTTACCAGGCTGTTCCTTCTTTGTTTTACAGAGAGGGAAAGAGATTGTGCAGAACGCAACTAAATTGTTTTCTAATTATTTTCCCCCATTTATTCCCACGTGCTTCTTATTTCTCTGCTTTTTCATTGTTTTTGGTTTCTGTATGATCTTAAATTTCTTTTTATATGTTTTAGTGATAAATGTCAGAAATGTGAGCATGATAAGACTCTTCGCGAAATTTTTGTTCTTTTGAACAGTCAACGCCTACATCTAATTGAATCCTTCTTACAGAACGTTATCCCACCTATGCATTGACCAACATGATATTAAATTAGGGTGTTTACCGTAAACATACAGTTCACACTTGCGTGAAGCATAAATAAAACTTTATTTTTCAAGCTGTTTTTTTGGAAATAAATTTAAAAACGGAAAAAAATGTTATAGAAGCGTAAATATATAATTCGATTGTCCCAAATGACGTTTGAAAACATTTGAAATTGTAGTAAAATTATGCAACGGCGAAAAATTATTTCAAAGCATGGAAGCTGAATCCAACTCATTGGTTGGGAAAAAGAAATATTTAGATCGATGAAATGTTGCTCTCATCTCCATCGTCCACAAGAATTCCACCTTCTGGAAATCCTCCGGAGGTGATTGTAGTAGTTGTTGTAGTGATGGTCTCCTTAACAAGATTCCCGTTTGCGCCGTGCCTGAAATTCCATTAATAATCAAAAACAATAAAAATTAATTGAGAATTATAACCTCAGTTGTTATCTAGTGTGCAATCTCTCTACTGTCTACGTGGTTGCCGAATTATTTTTTCAAATTAACGAAAAAGTGAGTTTCAGATTCTGTCTGTGAATTAGTCTTATTGAGGCATGGTTACCAATGCATATCAAAATATAGTAAATGAACTAGGATGAAACTGAACTTGTGAATTTTCTATAGCTATGGAAGACATTAAAAAAAATTTCAGTTCAGGTTCTCGAAACTTTCAGACCTATGTGTATGACAAGTTTTAATCATTTTCTAAGTCATCTAAATTCTTCTTACTCTTCTTCCTCCTCGATAATTTGCTCTTTATGCCCACTTTCATGGTCTTCCTCGTCATTGTTGTTTTCCAGGTCGTCACCCGATTTAATCACAGTGTTGGTAGTGGAAGTGACCTGAATATTACTTGTTGAAGACATGAAAAATTTCTGAAATTTCACATACAGTTTCTTTATAGTGTCTTCCAGATTCATCGGTTTTCTCTGTGACGGTTGTTTGCACGTGATCGGTTTGATGATCTCCATCATCGTCTTCATTCTCACTCTGCGGTTGATAAATAGATTGCATCATTGGGTTTGGTTGCTTATCATGAATGCTTAATGAATCTGTGGAAATGTTGTCCTGATCCAGAATCATGGAATCCTTGACATCACTTTGCTCCTGAACAGTTTTGTCATGCAAAGCATCCGAAGACTCCAAGAAACGATCATTTTTTTCATCCGATTGATTAGTATGTTGGACCAGATGATCGTCATCAAACATTTCATTTTCTTGATAAGATCCCGATTGATAAACAGAAGTTGTCATTAAATCCGTATTCGGATTATTTGAGCTTAGGTTTTGAAGCGCAACGTGTTCATCCTCCTCTTTTTCGACGTTGCCAATAGAATCTGTTTGCTCAATTATTGACTGTGACGGCAAAGAACTGTCATTATCTGTGTTCGAAATAGTATCAACGATGACCATATCTTCTTTTGGACTCGGATGTTGGTCGATGTGTTGTGCGACTTGTTCAATGGAAATGTTCGTGTCTTCAGTTGCTTTAGGGACTGGACTAGTTGATTCCCGAGTTTCCGAATCTTGATAAGCAGTGATATTTTTACCTTCAGTGAACGGAGCTGTTTCTGATCTTGGAGATGAATCGGACATTACTGGACTATCAACATCTCCTCGCGATGGATAATATAGATCCATTTCGGTTGGACTTTTTGGAGCGTATTTTTCATTGAAATTAGATCCATGCTTCATTTCTTCATGCTCATCCTCGGCGTCACTTGTATGAACAGATGGATATCTTGGAGCAAATTCAGTCTCGGCTGCGATGTTCTCAGGACTCGAAGCTACAACATCTTGATTGTCCGAAGCATGGGAAATTTTTCTTGAGAGAGGAGCAACAATTGGAACATCAATAATCTCAACCGGTCCATGAGAAATTTCGTGAACAAGGCCATGCTCCACATTGTCAGACAAATTCTCTACAACTGAATTTTGAGCCAAAAGCTCAGATGAAGCAACTTCCGCTGGAGAATCGCTGCGCAAAGCTGGGCTACTTCTTTCTTCTTCAACAGGCTCAACGATGTTCTCGGGTTCTTCAGACATAATGTGGTCAGATGAAACATGTTCAGCAAGTTCTTGAAGAATTTCATCTTCATTATGAGAAACTTGATCAACATGATCGCTACTTTGGTGAGCTCCTTCATTGGTTTGTCCCATTATTGTTGAGCGTTCAAGGTCCGTTTCTTCTTGATGTTGATGACAACCATCTGCTGACAAAACGTCATGTTGTTTCTCTTCTTCCTGTATTTCATGGTGTTTATCATCGTGAACAGGTGACATCAATTCTTGCTGAACAACGTCGTTGTGTTCAGAGATAAGATGATTTTTCATGTCTTCTTGAGATGGAATCAAACTCGAAGACTCGTCCACTTGATCCACTGTAGGTGAACCCATACCCGACGGTTTTTCTTCGGAGACAAATAAGTGCTCAGCAGTGGTGGAAATGTTCTCTTCGGCGAGAAATTCTTCAGCTGGAGCTTCAACACTAGGAGAACGTTCTAGATCATTTGATTCTTGAGAATGGACTGTCGTAGCGCGTTCAAATCCAACCTCCTGCTCCAAGCTTGGTGATACGTTTTGATAGGACATTGATCTATCGCTTAGTTCGGGTGTTTCCCGTTTGGTAACTGTAGATTCTGATGCATCAAGTGGTGCATGTTCTTCAAAAATCTCCGTTTTTGCCGGGCTCTCAAGAGTTTCAGTTTGTTCAAGAGATTCAGCGCTGTTAACATCCAGAAAAAGTTGAACAGGCGGCTGATCCTGTGTGTCCAAATCTTCTAATAAATGGTGGGACTCGTGGTGTGACAAAACCGGGCTTTCTGGAGATTTTGGTTCAGATTGTTCGTGAACAGTAATTGGGTTCTGAACAACCAATCCTTCTTGTTCATAGACAGCATCATTTGGAAGAGTAGGTGATTCAAATTGAGAATTTTCCTCATCCTGAGAAGTAAGCAATGGAGAATGCTCTGACTTTTCATATTCGTGTTCAGAATAGTCTTCAGCTTTTGGTGGTGAATGACCATGATCCTCCGAAACTGGAGAGCTATTGAGAGAACGCACTGGACTGGACGACACTTGCCCGTGATGATCGTATTTTTCCACCGGACTTTTTGGGCTTTGTTCAATTTTATGATCATTGATTTCAGCGACGGGAACAATCTCTGAAGCATGATGGGCAACAGAATCATGAGAGCTATTAACTGATAGTACACGGTCTGGTGTTTCTTCGCGATATTCCTCTGACTTCTCTTCTGTTTTCTCAGTCGGTAAGTTTGGACGCTCGTCAGTTGACTCTACAGTTGGCTTCTCGATTGAAAGATTTGTATCACTCAAAGTTGGTGAGCATCTATTCAAGCTTTGAGATTCAGTGTTTGGTGCTTCATCGTGATTCGGTTCCGCAGGACGTTCTTGTTCTGCATGATTGCCCTCCGAATTCAAATCAGAACTAAACGGTTCTGGTACGATGGCATCAGTGACCCCAAGAGCGACAGTTTCTATTTCCACTGGTGTTTCTTTGTCTTCCTCGGCATATTCTGGCTCCGAACTACTGTCCTCATAATCCCCATGGGTGTTAGCTGCGTTGATTGCTTCAATTTGACGGACGACATGCTCCTCCTCCCCTTGCTCAACATCTTTTTCAGCGGATTCCTCCAACTCATGAGAATTATCTATTGGAATAGTTTCAGTGTAAGCTGGAGAGTTTCGACCATGAGTTCCTCTAATTTCTGAGACTGGAGATGTTTGCTCTGAATCGCTTGCAATTAAATCCTCCACATTCAATGCAATGGTCCCTATAGCTGCAGCGGTAGCAGCAGCAGCAGCGCCAGTAAAGATTCCATGACCTAAAATGTAGTAATCGGTATTTCTTGTTTAATAAGTGGGATGAAAATTCATCTGGATAAAGCGAAATCCCATACCAGTCACAGATGGGAGCGTAGGAAGTGTTGTTGTAGTTATATCCTCTTTAGGCGGGGATTTCGACACCGATGAGACCGTGGTAATTGTAGTAGTTGTTGTCTGGCGTTTTGTCGAAGGACGCCCACGGGTTGGTGCTGGCCTGAAATCATATTATAGTAGGTGAGTGTTTGAATAAATTCTTACTTCTTGGCAGCAGGTGGTAGTTTGGTGGTGGTTTGTTGAATTGAGACCGGCACAGGTGGTTTGGTAGGAACCCACTGCCTGGAGGGTGGATGAATCGGTGGAAGTCGAACGTTGAAGTCTTAAAGTGGGATTGGAAAACTGTCAGTACCCGATTTCTTACCTTTACGCTTCCTAGTGGTAGGCGGGCAGCTGGTTCGACTGTCATGACTCGCATTCAACTTATTTCCAGTTGTTGTTTTTCTTCCTCTCATATTTAGTACACTCCTGAAAGTTCGTAGTTATCTGATTACTGAAAAAAAGTTGTGCATCTCAAACACTGATAAAAAGTACTACATCGGTGGGATTTGTGTAGAAGAAAATATGAAGAAGGCTGCAAAAATTTAAAAGCGGCTCGAAACATGCTTATTTCATAAGTAAAACATCCAGCAATTACACATAAAGCGCATAAAATAATTTCAAAATACGTTTCGAGCCGTTTACAATAATTGTAGGTACTTGATTGTTTAGTTGAAGATGGTATCATACCGGGTGATATAAAATGATTTGAAAAAAAATTTTGACAATCAATCAAAATTTCCTAGGTTATTTTCAATTTTATAATTCAGAGGTTGAACTAAAAAGAAGGTTAAAACTAAAAAGCCGATTGATAACATATGTAAAATGTTATGTTAAGCTTACAAAAAAAATGTAAAATCAAACTAGATTTGAAAAATTCGAGCTGTACGTTGGCTATTAGTGAGCTTGTTTTGATAAATCTGAGCTCAAGAAGTGAAACGTTGAGGGTATCCAAAAGTCTCACTACCAAACCGTTAGTTAAAATTTTTCTCGTTTATGCGCTCAGACACTAATTTTCTTGCCGTCAAAAATGGTTAATTTGCAACTAGATTTAAAAAAGAATAGACAAAAAAGCAGTAGAAACGTTCAGAATTTTGACATAGTGAAGCCACCTAGGAAGAGCCATATATTGATTCCATTTAGCATTTCTATAGTTTCCCTATGAAATTGCAACAAATGGGGAATTATTGCCATTACATGAAGCCTCAGATTTAAATAGTTCGGAAGAATCGTACCAAGACTTTTAAAAAATCCAGATAACATTTATGTCAACGCAAGCTTGTCAAAAAGTTATTCTTACAAAGCCGAATGAAACTTTAAAAAATGAGAAATTCAGAACCAAGGGATAGGATTTTGTAGGAGTTCACAACCACATATGCAGATAGATAGCTGTTGAAACTGGAAGCAAACGATACCCGAATCCAAAAAGAACAATGAAAACAATTTTTTGGAAAAGTTAGGACATGTTCGTTTTCAGTTGTAACAGTTTGGTGTCGGTGTAGACGAAAATTAAAATATGCAAAAGGTTAACATTCAATTGAAAAGGGACAGATGTCACAAAAGACTTGGGACAGAAAACTTTAAGTTTGTTAGTACCTTAGTGGCTCTTTCAGGGCAGTTCCACCAGCTGAAGCAGTCAGGCTAGGTAGTGACCTGAATATTTGGAAAATGTCAAAATCTGTTAAAAACAAATAAAGGAAACTGAAACTCAACCAAATTAGTAATGAACACAAGTTAATTCTGAACATTCCGGTTGGAAAAAAACTATGTACTCAACCTGCGTTACAATTTCTAATCATCGCGACGTATCGCTTCACTACAGAAATTTGTCAAATTACAGAGGAGAATTGAAAACGAATTTCGAACACAAAGTTTCCCTTAACGATCGCCAGAACGTTGTGAGAACACTCAACATTCTAAATACCGCTAGTGTTTGGGAAGTTCGAGCAAAACGCCGTGATAAAATTTTCAAAAAAAGCTACACGTAGCGATGATCGACGGGTGGATAATGTAATTCGCAAAAAAAAAAATATTCGGCTCGATATAACTAGAATCAAAAATGCACAATGTGTTTGGAAACTTTAATATTTTGCTTTGAGCTGTTGAAGTTTTTCAATATTCCACGATACTTCAATATGTATGTGTAACTATCAAACTAACAGGTATCGAAAAATGTTTGAATCAATTTAATTTCAAAGGGAAGAATACGTCTACGTTAAATCTACATTGCAATCCTATAAATCTGTGTTCTCACCTTCTTCGGAAAAACCACGAAGTTTGCGGTGGTGGTGGTTGGCGAGCTACCGAGTGTGGACCGAAAGAAATCTCGCGAAAACGTTCGAGACGTTGAAGTTGTTTTTTGAGATTGTCTTTGTAAGCAACCAAAGTGCTGTCGTCAAGCTAAAAAATCGATTAATCAAACATTTCGAAAATATTCTAGGATAATAGGCAACAATCTTGTCCTCACTTTATGCAAGTAGTTGAAACGCTTAGCGTTTGCTGATAATCTTTTGTATGGATCTCTGGTATTGCTCTCCAATGGATCAGCATTGCGCTCTTCGATTCGTTGGACAAAGTCCCGATCTTCGAAACTGTTAGAATACCGGCGCTGCCGGCCGCCACTGCCGTTGCTCTTCTGTCCAGCACGATCTGGAATATGATATTAATTCATATTTTCTGTGTTTTGGAATATTATTTATACTTCTACTGAGGCTGCGACTGGGTTTTCCTTGGCGGTACGACTCCGGGCTTTGGCCGGTGCGAATACGACGACAGCACTCCACTTTCTCCGCGGCATCCAGCTTTTTGCGCAACTCCGCCATTTTTACCAGTTGAGCTTCTCTGTAATTATCGGATCTCCGATCAAGATTTTTATTCATCTTCCCAACCTGTTCTTGAGCATCATGTCCATCATAGCATGATGGCGCGCGTAAACTTCGTCTCCATTCAAGTTGAGCGTGGACTCCAGCTAGAAAACTCAAATTTCAAAAATTCATATATCCGATTACAGTATTTTTTTACATAGTTTTCTTTTTCATTTGACTCTCACTTTAGAAAAATAAATAATATTAAGCAATGATTTTAAAACAACGTGTTATGAAGGTAAAAACAAAATGTTCTTCTTTGTATAAGTTTTTTCGATTTGCGAGTGTGAGTAATTTGTCACTTTTCTTGAGAGAATTGCACTTATTGTGGTTTCCAATGACCACTCAATTGAGTCATTGAATGAAGGTTTTTCCACTCGTAAAGTAGAGTGCACGCGGCATTATGACGCCGTCTCAACAACTATTCTTCTTTCTCTCATTTACCTCTTTTACTAGGTGAGATTTGCTTGTTTTCGCAAGGTCTGCCCAATATCCCCTTTTGTATAATTGTCAGGTCATAAAAATATTGCGCCAGATGTAATACGTCATAATAAATACATTAGGTTCGAGAAATTTCAATTGCATCACCTTGTCCTCTTTTTCTGGTATTCGGCATTTTGTCTTTTACTCAATATCTAGCATGTTTAATTTGCACGCGCATAAACACAAATGCAATTGAACGGGTTCCTAAAAGCACTAACCCTCTTCTTTTCTCTGCAATAAAATGTGTGCGCAGCACCCGGCTGTCCGGAAAGCGATCAATTATGAGGGCACACTCCCTAGGGTGTCACATTGACTCGGTCGTCCCATCTATTCTTTTTTTTCTCCATTTTTGTTTTAGCACAAAAAGGCTAACCTTATTTCAAGTTGAAAAGGATGGGAGAAAATGGGAGAAAAATGTTAATTAAAGCTTCAAGTGAAAAATAAAATGAAGAAAAACTTTGAAAACTCTGTAAAAGAAAAGGCGAAGGAGACTGGGTTTTCTAGTGGATTCCGGCTTGCACTCACCAATCCCATTTTTTGCAGATGTTTTTGCATATGCGGGAGAGCAAAGTATTGACGAAGGTGAATGTCGTAAAGTGGGTTGTAGTTGTCGAGAAGGTTATCCGCCATGATTAGCTTATTGAAATACTTTTTGAATTACCTGAAAAAGAGTTATTAAAGTATAAAAGAACTGTTGTTGTAAGTGGAGCAAGAGGCTACAAAAGATAAATAAATTATAGGGAGCTTCATATTGTAATGCAGAAAACAACCTGATAGAACATAACGAATTGAGATGGCTAATTCAAAACCCCGAAGAGTGGAAATAATAAAATGAGAATTTAGAAGACATATCTCCTTCTCCTCTTCTCGAGCTCGTATGCATTTTGGAAGGAACACGCAGTTAGTCTCTGCGTTTGAATGGGGACAGAGATATATGGATAGAAAGCTTGTGAAACGAAAGAGGGAGGAGTAAGGGCGCGAAAAAGAGTGAGGAGGAAAAACGAAGAGACAGGGCCAAAACGAGAGCACAGCACTAATCCACACAAGCTATCACCAGTAGCAACCGATGGAAATGAGCTCTCACAAAATTTCGAGAGCCGGCTTAGCATATGTGACATAGAATGTTCAGCTATGGCGGTGCCGGTGTAAGAACAACATATGCACACATGAATGAGAAACAGCGATCATATTAAATGAAGTTCATGTTTCCCAAAAAAAGGGAGAGAAGAATGGATGACATACACAGTTGTAAAGACTTGGAGAACTTCACCCACTTCAATCTTTTCCTATTCATACAACCCACAGGGAAGAGAGGAGAGACAAAAAATTACCTAATAAGGAATTGCCCATAAAGAAGAAAAGAAGATTACAGAAATGATGATTACAAACCAAGTAATATAGAGTGTATGCTACGTGTTCTGAGTCTTTTTGTGGCTTTTCCAGAGAATAATCACAACGGAAAACAAGGATAGAATATTTGCAATGCTTTTGATTGGTTACAAAAAAAAGACAATGCTGCAATTTTTTTTAGGTGTAGCTCAGCTTTAGTAACGTAGCTCAACCGGTAATGGCTGTTATTGCGCCCACGCATATTGAAAATTACGTGTTTTTTTTAAAAACAGAAATAGCAAGGTAGAAATAATTTGCTGCACTCTTATACATATGCCTGCTGAAATAAAAACATACGCTGAAAATTTAATAAAGTAAAGAAATGGAGACTGTGGAGACTGTGGAGACAGTTTATTCAAACGGCCGGAAAACGTGAAATTTGAGATTTTTTTGAGCAAACGCCAATCCTCAACATCTTCTTTGCTAAGGCCTCTTTTCTCTACACAAGAAAAAAAAGAAAAAAAACACACACACTTAAGTATAGCTGAAAGAAAAAGGGAAGCTGTTTGAAAATAGTGAAACTGAATGGTGTAGGCCTGAGTGAAAACTGGCGGTTCAATTAACCCACGGGGACGACAAAGTAGGATTTGACGGGAAACGGGAGGAAAGAGGTTGGGAAAGAGGAATGGGAGAGTGTGGAAAAAAAGGGGAAAATGGGAAGAAAAGATGAAACGAGAGGAGCTTCTTTGGTATACTTTGGAAATGTCAAAGAGGCGTGCAAAAAATTGAATTTCCCTTCGAATGAATTTTTGAGTGTGGCAAAAGGTGAACTCAGAAGTTGTTACTACGTTGAAAAACTTCCAGAGGACAAGAAAAAAGAAATTCTACATAATGAGAAGCGAATTTTTTTTGAAAGACAAATGCACGAATACGTTGGAGCAGAACAGTGAACCCTCTCTTCAACAATAAGTTGGACACAACAAAGATTGGAAAAAAAAGAAAAAAGCGGAATAGAAAAAGAAGGAGAAAAAAGAAATCGATAACTTAATTAGAGAAAAAGTGAAAGAGTTGGGCTCAAAGAAAAGATAAAAAAGAAAGCCAAGAGGCGAGCGTAGCTTTTTGCATTTCCTTGAAAGAATATTTTTATCCCCCAGGTACCCAATAAAAGTATAACACTGAAAACCCAAAATAAGAACAACACTCCAACATATCGGATTTCAAAAAAAGGAGAACGATGAATATGAAATTTTCTTCAGGAACCTTACAAAAAAATAACGGATTCATAAGTTTTCAACGAACGTTAACAACTGGAAGAAAAAGTCTAGCAATTGAGCTGTTGCGCTTTCATTTGTTTTCAGTTTTGACAAGCTTTTGCTACGTTTCGGGAAAAAAGAATGAACATTCTGGAAGTGTTCTAAAATGTTCAACGACCCAGTCTGTGACTGATTTTGATAAATAACTATGAGTTGAAAAATAAACAACTAAAAAAGTTTTGAAAACCCGAATGGTTGAAAGTGGCAGCGAAAAAAAAAATTCTCAAAAAAAAAATCAGAAGAAACATGAGATTGCCCTGAAAATAATATAATAATAAAACAAAAAAGGTTGAGCAAGAAATCATAAGAAATCGTAGCGACCTTGAACATTTGGTTTTGTGCTGAAGAAAAGTTCGTGGCGGTTTTCTGTCTTTTTAGCCAAGATACGTTTGAACAAACACGCTTGTGTGAAGTCAGGGGAAGAAATTTCATTTGTGTTGAAATCTGATATTTCTTGACAAAAAGCTAAAGAAAACAGAGTTCACGATAAAAATTTATCCGTGGATTACAAGAGAATTGAAGAATGTCACATGAAACTAGAAGCTGGGTATTTTTAAAAAGAGGGATTTGCTAGTACACGAAAACATTATAGGTACCTAAAATGATTTTATTTCATACAATACTTTATAACCTTGGATTGTGAAATCCATTTTCGCATCTTTTGACTACCTAAAAATAAAACAAATATCAAAAATGAATGAGTATCGAAATACAAAGAAACGCAAAGACCATTTGCGCGTGTCTGACCAAATATGTGTAATGAAGTCCGTTTCCAATTCAATGACTTCTGTTCAAATATTTGAGTCACTATAACTCTTCAAAATTTTGTATCTAAATTATGGTTTACTAATCAACTTTTACTGAGTTCTCTGATTTTCATGCCTATAAGAAAAATTTGTAGGGTGATATTAGGTGTTCTGTTAAAAGAGGTTTATTCAACTTTATATTTCCTTGGTGAAGCAAAAAAACATTTACAAAACATCCATTTATGTTTTCTTGTTGTTCAGTTGGAGAAAATCGTAAACGGGCTGTTTCAGGTACATGCATTTCAAATGTTTATTCATTTCTTAATGATTTGTAGTGAAAATGAAAAATGAAAAAAAAATGGAATTTGTGCATTAAGTGACCACAATGTCGGGGTTGAGAAATGACCAATCGTAACATTTGGCGAAATATGAACTAGACAACTGCTGAACATATCACGGAAAGAAATTCGAACAATAAATTCAGAAAAATACCAGTAAGAAAGGCAAAACATTGTTAGAAAAGTCGGAATCAACATAAAGTTCAATAACGTCAACTTGTGTTGAAAAATAATACAATTTGGAACACTGCTTTCTAACTCATTCTAAGAATTATGTTTGTAATAAATTATCTAGTCAGGTAAAGGTTCAAAAATTCTTGAGCACCAATTTGAGATGAGCAGAACCAGAAGAGAAACCAAGAAGGTAAAAAATAAAAATGAGATAGAAGTTGAACATTGCATAGATAAGAACAAAAAAAGTTGGTGAACAAGCCAAACGATTATTTTCCATTATGAGCTTGGAAATTGTACAAAGTTGTTCCGAGTGCAGCAAAAGGTGGCGGCCTGTATAAAGCTCCCAAAGTGTCTTTTTTTGGGATTTGATTTGCTGCTTGGGGTTGAAGGCTGAATTGAGCTGCTGTTTGTGCAATCTTTTCTCTTTGTGGTGCTTGAATATCAATTCTTTGAAGCTGTAAAAACATTAAGTTGAGATGAATATAATGGTATGTTGATTTTTGAAAGTTATACTCGTGAAGAAATTTTGAAAACTTACACTTGCATTCTGTTCAATAGTTGGCTGTTGCTGTGGGAAGAATTGAGGAGCTGGAGGAGCTGCTCCAAATGTTGGCATTTGCAGAGCAAAAGGACTCTGTGGATTGGTGAGTAATGATTTCGTATAAACATCTAAATTATTGAACTGATCCGACGGAACGTTCTGAACTCCGTGAAGACCATAAACTGGTGCTGGCTGATGGAAACCGTTCAAGCCATACTGTCCAATTGGTGGCTGTGGTTGGAAGAATGCAAATTGATGGTTGTATGGTTGGAGTGGAGTTAGTTGAGGTGCTTGCAGGACACCCGATATTGTTGGTCCTGGGGCTGGGGGAAGAGGAGCAGGAGCAGGTGGAGCAGCGGGAAATTGGAAAAGGTTTGGTTGTGGCAGTCCAAACTGTGGAAATGGTGGTAGTGGGGCAAATGCAAACGGATTCAATGGAGCTGCCGGCATTGGAGAAACTGGTTCAACCTGAAATTCAGAAATTTTTGCATAAATTCAATTAAAATGAATAGCGTTTTACGTTGAGAAAATATGTTTAGTAGAATTCGTCAGATAATCATAAATGATGATGCTAATTGAACAAGAATTGAGCTTGAATTTTGTTTCTTACTCTTTTTTTTGTGCAAATTAAAATTATATTATTGGAAATTGCTCCTCACTTGAACTTGAACTGGTGGAGCAATTGTTGTCGGTGTTTGAGTTGTTGTTGGAATTATTCTCGGTTTGGGAGTTAATATTCTTCTTGTATAAGGAACATGTTCTCGCTTTGGCGGGGGCGTTGCAGATTTTGCAGATTCCTCTTGTGCGTTATGCTCAGCTGTTGGGCTAGAGATATATAATTAAAAATGATAACCAAAAAAAAAGACTCACTCGAAGATTGTAGCTCCAAAACTTCCGATAAACGGCTCCGATCTTGGTTTCTTCTCACCATCATGTCCATCCACAAATGGCGAAACAACACTGAAAATAGAATTAGGTCAAACTGTGGATGCAGATGTTTGTACTCACTTGTGCGTCGAGGAAGTTTTTGGTTTTCTCTTGTAAGGTCTATTTATTGGAACCTTTTTCTCTCGTGCAATGTGTGGGTGATTGTCATGCCCAATGTTCATGGCAGAGTTTGTGGCGTTTCCCAACACTCGTCGAATTTCCGACTCAACATCGTCGTCATCTGTTTGAAAGGAAAATTAGAGTGAACCAATTTGACCAAATGACTTACATGCAACTTCGAACTCGGGCGGGTCGGGAAGGCAATTCATGCGACGGACGGTGACTTCATAGTAAGTTCTGAAAAATATCCCTTTTGAAATTGACTCAAAACGTCAAAACTGAGAAACTTTGTCATCCACAAAATTGATTAGATGAATATTTATAACAGTTACACATTTCGTCTCCAAAACTATTTTTCTAACTTTAAAGATCATTTTAAATATTTTTTTTTCATTTCTTGATCACACTCGATGCCGTAATTTCCCTCCCGTATCATTGGAAAGATCACGTTTTATATCTCTCTTCGTAAGTTGATATCCGAAACACAGCATATTCAATCACTGTATACAAAATCCTGATTTTTGCCTATCAATGCATCATTGATCGTGCCACGAGTTTACATTTCGTCACTTATTTTTGACGAAGATGATGACGAAACAATGATACGGATTGTTGGAATTCTTATGAAGACATTTTAGATGAGATAGTGGGCGTTGTTTCAATCTGTTTTCCGCACATCCCTAGTTCGGGAAAGTAAAAAAAAAAGAAAGAGAGATGCTAATCGAAACTAGCGCAAAATATTAGATTACATCTTGAATTAGCTTATACAAAGATCTGAGATTTATACGGCAAGTTTCAGGCGTGTCTTTTTTATTTCACGTGTATTAGCGGTTAGAAAGATACTTTTATGGTAAAATTGGAGATTTACTGATTATGCCAGAAATATGACAACCCAGAAACGTCTGTTGTTAAGATTTTCTGACATTTCTTACCTGGTTCATGATAGAAACCAGAAATCGTTAAAAATTAGTCGGAATTTGATTTCGTTTTTTATCTTCTCTCTATTTCGCAAACCTGATTGGCTTATCATGTTAAGTTTTTTTCTAAAACAAATAGAAGCGGAAGCAAGAATCGGAAATAATAAAAATATAAAGTTACCGTTTGGGATCATCCGGATCCACCAGTTTCCTAGCGTTTGCGATAACATCAAACGAAATTTGACGACCGTCACGAACAACTTCGCCACCAGTTACTGCTTCTCCTACAAATATTCGTGTATGAAAAACAAAAACCAGGTGTTTTTGTTTTGGTGTTCTTGTTCTTAATTTTCCAGACTGGCTGTTTCTATTTCTCATCAAACCTTAATAAAGCTTTTCAGTTGCCAGTCGAAAACAAAAATATTATACGGAAAAAAAAACAATATTTTGGATTTTTCGACTCGAAGGCCGCTTCGTGAGAATGGAAGATTTTTGAAATTGAAATATGATTAGAAAGAACAATACATACCAGATGAAATTGTGGTGACACCGACGTCCTGAGAAAAGCGCAAACCTTCAAATGTGCAGCATTGAAGGACCAATCTGTTCAGAATTCAAATTTATGCTAATGTGAAAAAAAAACAAGAAAATGTAGTTTTGTATCGTGTTCAGAATTTTTTTGAGTTTCAACCTGATTGAAAAACAACGAACCACATTTTCAAATCCATCTTTTTTCTATAATTGCTCTCCACATCAAACTCCTTATATTTTTATGTTAAGTTTATTTTAATTAAAATGATTGAACGTTGCAACGAATTTTGAAGTTTTTATCATGTATTGTTTTTTCTGTCAGTTTTCAAATCATTAAAAAACTTACGGTTGTCTTGGATGGTCAATGAAATCTATTCCTCCAACCCATTGATTTTTTTTGGTGCACGCAAATTCTGAGAAATGACCAGGGCATTCCTGCAAAAAAAGTTGGGAACTCTTTTTTTGATGTTTCATGTATTGTGAAATTCAGACTGTGACATTCAAAGTATATTTATACTCGGTCTGATATTCATTTTTCCTTCAAATGAATTATTTTTTAGGTGCTGAAAAATTGTTACTATCAAAAAAATATGATAAGCTTATCTATATGTAAAATTGTGAAAAATTTAACTTTAATACTGAAATATTTTAATACTGAAAGTATATGGAGAAGATCATAGTGTGGTTGGAACGCCTAGTATTCAAGAATTAGTTTCTGATATTCTAACACAATTTTTTAATTGTTTTAGTCGTATCAAACAATCCCTTAAAAACAAAAAAAAAGGAGTAATAAAAATTTGCGGGCCAATTTTTCTTTCTTTTCCGGTTTGCCTCACTATTTTACCTGCGTGGTTCTACTGTCAATAATAAATAAGTCAAAACACTTCCACAACATACGTAATCGTGACCGTCACGTTTTCCCTTTTTCCGAATAACCTCCAACTAGTTGCGAAATAAGCAAGCACGTATGAAAATGCTACAAATTACATTACTTCCTTTTGCCGTCACCTTAGTCAAGTTTTCATATCCATCATCAAATCCAATTTGCTAATAGCAAATGCATATGCGTATGTGTGTGTTCGCAAAAAAATTTGGAGAAATTATATACGAGCGACAGAATAGATTATGCAATTTCGAAATGTATTGAGTAGAAGATTGAATTGAGTTACGTGAGAATCGAAAGTATGATCGCAAGAACATCTGACAAAATAATGCCTTGGAAACGTTCTTTAATCATATCACAGACAAGATGTGCGAGGAATATTGAAAAAAACTTTTCATGTTCAAACTTCAATAGTTTTTTCTTTATCCAAAGGATGTCGATGTTCTACAAATACCGCTGTTCGGTTTTCATCGAAAAAAGTTCCTCTTCCTCTCTTCACCCCCATATGTTCCTGGTTCCCAATTTGGAGTTATTCTCCATTCGACATTCGCGTTACAAAATACAGTTTTTCCTGACCCACAACTTCATTTTCGCTTCTCTTCCTACAATGTCATATCACGAAAACTAAAGCGCAGACATGCCCTGTTCAACCCAGAAAACGTTTGTCTGTGGGAAACATCTCACAAAATGAGATTTGGTCGTAATCGTTTATCACTATCGTTTTCAACCTATTTTTGAATTTAACACGCGTGTAATCTATATTTTTGTTTTGTAGAAAAACGATGAAAAGCGGAGAAGAAAACAAGAAAAAGGGACGAAAAATGAAGAATTCAATAGCTGTGAAACAAAAAAAAAGAGAAGTGTTCACATTAATTCTATATGGAAAGAGGAACAGAAAGACATGCAATGTTGTTCTACGAGAAAAATATCTTTAAAAACTTCAAATAGTAAAATTTACGAAATTTTAAAGAAATTTCAGCTCAAAATATCAGTTTCATTATCTGTGTCTTTGTATTAATACTTTTTTCCTCTGTACAAGTAACTGATAAAAGATCTTTAGTCCATGATAATGTTGAGAATGTTTTCCCTGACCCTATAACTTAGAAATGAACTCAATTTAATAGAAATTCGATAATAATTCCCGAAATACAAAATTTGAATCAAAATAAAAACTCACGGCTTTCGGTTTATAACTCTGCGAATAACTTCTCCTTTGCCTGTCTCCTTCTCGGAAATATCCGTCTTCCTGTCCAGCAGCATTAGCAATGAAAATACTATCCTCGTTATCCTCTAATGGTTCGGACATACAAGTTGGCTGAGCACAGCCCAGCACTGGTGAGCCTAAAGAGGGAAACCCATCATGAAGTAGTGTGTTGAGATAAACAAACCGTCTGACAAAATTTCCAGACTGTACGGCACTCCATTCTCGCCACAATATGAGGTTTCGATTACATAAAGCTGCAGTAGAAGAAGAAAGGATGAAAGGATAAACGCTCCATGGCGCATTCTGAATTTTTCTGTTTTTTAGGAAAGAAAGACGTCAAAAAGTGATACGGAGGGCACAATTGAAATATGATTTTTTATGCAGCATGTTTGGCCAAAAATTCGGGGGGTACAATGATTCGGGGGTACAAGGGGGTACAACTTAACTCCAGGACAAAATTTGAAATCAAACCATGGGTGTTTAAGAAAAAATATAATTTTAAGAAGATTGTGAAAAAAAAAACCTAGACAACAATATTATTCAAAAAGTATAATTGAAACTTGTCATCTTCAAAGCTCTAGCAACTACACTGAACAATAATTTGTATCTATTGGCACAGAAAAGGGTATGGAGGAGAAAATTGAAGAATAAACTAAAAGTGGGCGCGGTCTACAGGGCTAATCTTGATGGCGGCGCTGTGTTGGGAAGAAGCGGGGGAGGCTTAGAGAAACGTGGAAGGACGGATGCATGGGAAGAAAATTAGATCTGGACAAGAAATGATGAAGAAGAAGGACTAGGAAGAAGAAAAAGCATAAGCCTGTGTGGTGGTAGTGGCGGACAGCGGTGGAAGATATCCATTGAGAGGAAGAAGAATGAGTAGAAGGGAGGGGGTGGTGTATACAGGCATTGCGTCTAACAACAAGCTTGCAACTTTCCTGTTTATCACCATTCCTCTCTTCTATCTGTATTCTCTTATCCTTTATATAGCCCTTCTGTTTCCTTTCTGCCAATTTTTACCGACCACCAAGTGAAGGAACAAAGAATTTAGGAGAAAAAAATTACTGAGAAATAATTGAATACAGTTTTTTTTTCTAAATATCAAGTTTAGATTCCATAGTGTCAAGATCGCTCCTCGAATGTTTAAAATTGAGCTGTTTTCTTTATGATTTAAAAATAAAATTTATTTCACCATCAAACTTTGGGTACAGCAAACAAAAAGGCTTAAAGCTCTTGATAGTTGTTGGTTTTGCATTAGAATATATTAAAAAAAGAAAACGTGTGAAAATCAAGTGAGACAAAAAAGATCTGAGGAATATGTTTTGAGATGGTTAAATGAAAAATAACAACAAAAATCAGCTCTTCACTTACTTCTGAAAAAAAATAATTTTGGACTTTAGGGAAAAAAATTATCATGAAAAACAGTCGGGTGTTCAAGAATAGGAGTAGAAGTGTGAAGAAAAAACACGTTCAAGGTAAACTGTCCAAAAGTTTCTGAACTACTGATTGAGCTTCTGCATCATCCAAATTCTGAGCGTTGACGGGATCAGTGATTCCCGGTATTGAGGTGGCATCTGAATAATTTGAAGTTAATTGTGATTTTACTCTTACTAGAATATACCTCCAATACGAACGCCAATAACAGTTGTGAAATTGACATATGTGGAGTTGATAGTAGTACTTCCGAATTCCGCTTCGGGTCTGAAAAACCAGTTTTTTAATCTCGAAAAAAAGAAGCATATTGCAGCAGTTGGACTATTCAATTCGAGCACCTTCTTGAAAACATGAAAACATTAAAGCAAAAAAAACTTACGCAGCAGAGAAGAAAATTAGACATGTTTGATGCAGATCTGTTTGAACCAGAGGCATCCATGACGCTTGAGTCAGAGTTGAATCAACACTGAAATCAAGAATAAACTTTATTTCTTGACAGATTTCAGATACTACTGAATTTCGTAGCTAGTTCTTTAGCTTGGCGTCATTCTGTTTCTTTTTGCGAAACTCACTCTTTGAGGTCCAAATCAATTCCGTCGTCTAGATCCTCCACTGGCATGGGAACGTTTTTGAAATCCGTATAATTGTTAACTGGATATTTACTATGATCGTTTAGTCCACTCGCGTAACCAAATGAATCAGGATAACCAGTGAACGTGGATGCGTCATTTAATTTTGATGCGACTGTCATTGCAAAGTTCCAATACTGAAAACCATATGTCTTTGGACTGTTTATTATTGCTGCTCACCGTAGTATAATTTTTTATTGCCTCTGTGCTGATATTTAACGACTGCAAATCAACCATAAACAAACAAGTAACACTAGGCTCTGAAAGAAAACATTGTAAACACTTTATTTATAAAAACTCTCACTTGGTTTCGAAGTTGTTGCAGCAGATGAACCTGAAACAAAATTGTATGATTTTTCCATTTTCTGGAGAACGATCGATCAGAGCATCATGGCTCGCTAACAAAAATTCCAAACAAACAGACATAGACAGTACACAGCTAATGAGTGCGTAGTAATTCTAATTCTGCAAATGTTCGGTAATGAGAACACCGCTCCTGTATCCATTTTGTAAGGTAAAAACATGAGGAATAAATAGGTGTATGAAAAGAATAAAAGAAGTGAAGAGCTGATAGTTGAGTTTAGTTGGTATCACCGTCTGAAAAAATCATTTGATCACTGCGTTTTTGGTGCAAACTGTGTCGTGCGAATGTGCCAGTTAGTGCGTGAGGTCCGACAGCGTAGAGTGAAGTGTGAAGATACGAGTGGATTTTGGATAGTGCAATTAATTAACCAACAAAAACAAAAACTTATTATGGCTACTATCATAGTTGCTGAAAAAGAAAATAAGTAGACTTCGCACACACACACACACACACACACACACACACACACACACACACACACACACACACACACACACACACACACACACACACACACACACACACACACACACACACACAGACACACACACACACACACACACACACACACACACACACACACACACACATCAGATGATTTTTCAACTCTGTTTGGCGGGTGATTGTAAAAACACAGACATGGATTTCAATTTTGTTTGGCCTGGCCTATGTGCAGAACGCATCTTCAATGAAAATACTAGAGAGTTGAAAAAAGTGCAGAAATATATGGAGTGAAGACAAATTACACATGAATTACTGCGGACAACTGGTTGTGCTATTTTCCAACAAAACGAAGTGATGAATATGAGTACACGGATTCGTGAAACTACCTAAAGTACTGGTTCTGATGTTGGGAGTAGAAACTGATGTTGTCCTGTCATTCAACTGAGAAGAGGCAGTCGAATGGGATGATCCGGGGTATAGTGTCGTAGGACTTGTTACTGTGGATTCTACAGAGCTAGAACCGCTTATCGTATTAGACTGAGATGAGACTGTAGAAGGGGTAAATGGAATGGGTGTTGATGAAGAAAAACTGTTGACTGGACCAACTGTGGTCGATTTAGTGGAAAAGAAGGTGGACGTGGTAGAAAGACTGCTTGCTGTGGATTCTACCGAAGTAGAGGTTACAGCAGTTGTAGGGTAAGATGAGACTGGGGAGGATGTATGTTGAGGTTTTGTGGACCCTACTGAGCTAGATGTTCCGGATGAGGAAGACGTAACGGGAGGTGGGGTGAGATGACTGCTCTGTGTTACGACTAGTGAACTAGGAGTTTCAGCTGCCGTAGATGAGACAGTAGTTACAGTGGAATGACTTTTTTCTGTGGATCCGGAAGAAACTACTGATGTTGTGAGATGAGAGAGGGTTGGGGTTGATGTAGAATGAGTGGAACCTGAATATTGTACTGAACTTAATATTTCAGATAATTTTATTAAACTAGGGGACGAAACCGAATGTGTTTAAAAAAAATGAACTACAACGCGCGTCATAATTATAGGCCCCCCCCCCTCGAAATGAGTAAACTGAAAAAACCAAAAATGCTAACAGAAATCTGTAAACGCAGTTTTATTCAGCTTGTAAAAAAACCTACGTGTATTAATTTTCAGCTCAATTGAGTCATTTTTAAGCTCAGAGGGCTCAAAAGTCACTTCTTAGGCCGCGTCATGATTATAAGACCCCCTGGGAAAGGAAAAATCTGAAGTTTTTTAAGGAAAATTTTTAAATGTCAAAATGGTCTCAAAACAGCTGATTTTGACAATATACACAACTATTGAACCCTCTATTCATGTTTCAAAAAAAAATTGCTTTCAGACATTTTCGTCATTTTCAGATTTTTTGGAATAAATCGTGAATAACTTTGCTCCTACTTAAGCTTATGAGCTGAAATTTGTGGGAAAAATTCTAAATGTAAAATGAAGCAAGAATACGAGAAAAATGAAAAAAAAAATTCTTAATGAGATTTCGACCAGAATATTCGCAGAGAAAGTTATTTTCAAAAGTTTGAGAGTTTCATTAATTGCTAATTTTTTGTTGGGATATAGTTTCTGATTTTGAGAGACCTAGAATGATCCGAAATTCCAAAAATTGAATGCTCAGAAACTTTAAAGTTGCTGCAGTTCCACTCCACACATCCAACAGCATATTGTTTTAAAACGTTTTTCTAACAACTAGTTGTACTAGAAGTGATAGTTTTGACAGTGGATAAAAAATCCGATCTTAAAGAATGGATTAGATAATAAATGATGAAAAAATGTTGTGTTGTTTTCGATGTCACTAAATTAAACACTTTGATTGTGATGTACTTACTTGGCTCAGTGGCTGCTGAAGAAGGGTTGCTCACTGTGGATCCCAAGGAGCTAGTTTTTCCAGGGGTTACAGATGAGACAGGAGTCAGGGTGGAGTGATCTGTTATTGTGGATCCCATGGAACTAGATGTTTCAGGTGTGATTGGTGGGACAGGAGATGAAGAAGAGGGTTTGGTTACTGTGGATCCCGCATAGCTAGATGATACGGCTGAGGTTGATGGTACATGAGATGAAGTAGAGGAGCCGGTTATTGTGGATCCCAAGAAAGTAGATGTTGAAGCTGTGTTAGTTGGGACAGAAGATGGACTAGAGGAGCCGACTACTGTGGATCCTATGGAGCTGGATGATGCGGCTGTGGTAGATGGGACTGGAGATGAAGTAAGGGAACCGGTTACTGTGGATCCAAAGGAACTAGATGTTGAGGCTGTGGAAGTTGGGACAGAAGATGGACTAGAGGAACCGGTTACTGTGGATCCTATGGAGCTAGATGTTGCGCCTGAGCTGGATGGTACAGGAGATAAAGTAGAGGAGCCGGTTATTGTGGATCCCACGGAGCTAGATGTTACGGCGGCGGTAGATGGGACTGGAGATGAAGTAAGGGAGCCGGTTACTGTGGATCTCATGGAACTAGATGTTGGGGCTGTGGTAGTTGGGGCAAAAGATGGGCTAGAGGAAGCTGGTACTGTGGATCCCAAGGTGCTAGATGTTGAGGTTGTGGTAGTTGGGATAGGAGAAGGACTAGAGAAGCCAATGACTGTGGATCCCACGGAGCTAGATGTTGCGGGTGTGGTTGATGGGACAGGAGATGGAGAAGAAAAGTCGGTTACTGTGGAACCCTTAGAACTAGATGTTGCCTGTGTGGTTGATGGGACAGCGGATAAAGAAGAAGATTTGGTTACTGTGGATTTAGATGTTACGGCGGCGGTAGATGGGACTGGAGATGAAGTAAGGGAGCCGGTTACTGTGGATCTCATGGAACTAGATGTTGGGGCTGTGGTAGTTGGGGCAAAAGATGGGCTAGAGGAAGCTGGTACTGTGGATCCCAAGGTGCTAGATGTTGAGGTTGTGGTAGTTGGGATAGGAGAAGGACTAGAGGAGCCAATGACTGTGGATCCCACGGAGCTAGATGTTGCGGGTGTGGTTGATGGGACAGGAGATGGAGAAGAAAAGTCGGTTACTGTGGAACCCTTAGAACTAGATGTTGCCTGTGTGGTTGATGGGACAGCGGATAAAGAAGAAGATTTGGTTACTGTGGATTTAGATGTTACGGCGGCGGTAGATGGGACTGGAGATGAAGTAAGGGAGCCGGTTACTGTGGATCTCATGGAACTAGATGTTGGGGCTGTGGTAGTTGGGGCAAAAGATGGGCTAGAGGAAGCTGGTACTGTGGATCCCAAGGTGCTAGATGTTGAGGTTGTGGTAGTTGGGATAGGAGAAGGACTAGAGGAGCCAATGACTGTGGATCCCACGGAGCTAGATTTGCGGGTGTGGTTGATGGGACAGGAGATGGAGAAGAAAAGTCGGTTACTGTGGAACCCTTAGAACTAGATGTTGCCTGTGTGGTTGATGGGACAGCGGATAAAGAAGAAGATTTGGTTACTGTGGATCCAATAGAACTGGGGGTCCCGGAAGTGGTAGATGAGGCGAGGGATGATGTTAAAATACTAGATAGTGTGGAGGTTTCTGAAACAGAAGCTACCGATGTAGTTAGTTGAGTTGGGGTACTAGACTGCGATGGGACTGAAGTAGAGCTTGACCGAACCGGGGTCTGTGCAGGAGATGAAGCAGAAGGGGAAGTACTGATTGGGAGATCAGTGCTTGATCTACCTGGTGAACTAGAAACACTGCCACTGGATGTGGATTGAGAAGAAACCAATGAAGTTGTGGAGAATGTTGTTAAAGATGATGGTGTCGAGGTTTCTTTTGTTGATGTTTGAGTTGAACTTGATCCAGAGTTAGTTGATGAAGAAAAATAAGGAGAATTGGATGATGAAGGATACATTGATGTGGTGCTTCCTGACCCGCGGGATGTTGACATGGACGATTCAGTAGTACTCAGTGGTGTGGTACTTGTTGGATGTGTTCCTGTCGATGGCTCTACAGAACTACTAGACAATGTGGAAGACATCGAAGTTGTGGTGTTAGCTTTGGAGGATGTTGGCCCAAATGTACTTGAACGGGAAATGGTATACTGTGACGAGGTTTGGAACGATGTGGTAGTTTCACTCGTTTTTAACGAAGATGTAGATCCAAATGTGCTTGACTGGAAACTGGTGGGTTGGGAGGTGGATGGGGACAGGGACGGGGTTGGGGTTGGGGTGGTCACTGTTGTTTGCTGATCTACTGTAGATGTTGAGGCTTGAGATGAACTAGTTGATTGAGATGGAGGGGGAGTTGTGGTCATTCGACTACTAGAGAGGAACGTACTGGTTGAAGATGTTGGACTGCTCATTCCTTGTGTGGATGTCAGTTGGGAAATCGACGTGGATTTTGAAATTCCTTCAGTAGTGGATGAAGAGCCAGTTGAGAGATAACTGGTAGAAAGAGTAGATTCAGATGTGGAACTACTCGAGGTACTTAGAAGAGTGGTTGAGGTACTTGGGGAAAGGGTTGTGGATCCAGTGCCCGTGGACAGAGAACTATGTGGGGGTGTGATTGTACTGCTACTCAAAGTATTTTCACTGCTTCTACTTGATGTAGAATGCTCAGTTGTTGGAGCAGATGATGAGGTTGGTGGCATCGATGTGCTGCCTGTATAAACTGACGTACCCGTAGTTATTGCTGACGCAGGAGTGGTGGTCATTGTATTCGTTGAAGGAACAGTCGATTGTGATACGGTTGAAACTGAAGATCCAGATGAAGTAGGCATAGTGGCAGTAGAAGAGGTTATTGTTGCCGATATTGTTGAAATTGAAGATACTGATGAAGTAGGAACAGTAGCTACAGATGGTGAAGTGGACCCAGATACAGTTGAAATAGATGTTAGCGTAGATCCCGCTGATACTGTAGACATTGATGATAGAGCTGCTGTAGTAGTAGAAGCCGAGGAAACAGTTGATGCTGATGATGCAGAAGACACTGTCGATGCTGATGATGCTGTTGGTGGAGACAAGCTTGTGGCGGTAGATACAGATGACGACTGTGTTTGTGAAGTAGAGGAAGACGATGATGTTGCTGCACTCACGGTGGACGGATTTGTAATAGTGGATGAAAATACGCTAATAGTGGATGTCGGTACAGCCGTACTAGATGATCCAGAATTTGTTTTGGTAGATTTGGTTCCCAAAGAAGTTGTGAAGCCAGAATGAGAGCTGCTTTGGCTAGACACTGTGGAGATAGTTGGGGTTGATGAACTGACTCCAGACACAGTTGAACTAGTGACCACTGAGCTACTCGAGGCCGTGGCAGCAGGAGTCGGTGAACTCTGAGTTGTAACCGTTGAGCTTGAAATCGGTGATTGCGACGTTGAACCAGTTAGCGGCGCTGATGGAGTGGTCGTGGCTGTGGGTTGAGCAGTTGAACTTGCAGCCGAAGAAGATACTGTCTTGCCGGATGATGACGAAGGATTCATTGAAGTTGCTGTACTTTGTGTTGATGCCGACATAGTTGAACTTAAGACCGGGGTTGTAGATAGTGGTGCAGTAACCGATGATGACGCAGTCGACATCGAAGGTGACAAACTTGAAGCCGGTTTTTGTGAGCTTGAGCTAACAGATGCTGGTGTAGGTTGTGTTGTCGTCACAATTGGCCCAGATGAAGCTGCTGGTGTCGTTGTTGCAGTCGTCGCCGGTTTTTGTGAGCTTGAGCCAACAGATGCTGGTGTAGGTTGTGTTGTCGTCATAGTTGGCCCAGATGAAGCTGCTGGTGTCGTTGTTGCAGTCGTCGCCGTTTTTTGTGAGCTTGAGCCAACAGATGCCGGTGTAGGTTTTGTTGTCGTCATGGTTGGTCCAGACGGGCCTGCTGGTGTCGTTGTTGCAGTCGTTGCCGGTTTTTGTGAGCTTGAGCCAACAGATGCTGGTGTAGGTTGTGTTGTCGTCATAGTTGGCCCAGATGAAGCTGCTGGTGTCGTTGTTGCAGTCGTTGCCGGTTTTTGTGAGCTTGAGCCAACAGATGCTGGTGTAGGTTGTGTTGTCGTCATAATTGGCCCAGATGAAGCTGCTGGTGTCGTTGTTGCAGTCGTCGCCGGTTTTTGTGAGCTTGAGCCAACAGATGCTGGTTTAGGTTGTGTTGTCGTCATGGTTGGTCCAGACGGGCCTGCTGGTGTCGTTGTTGCAGTCGTTGCCGGTTTTTGTGAGCTTGAGCCAACAGATGCTGGTTTAGGTTGTGTTGTCGTCATGGTTGGTCCAGACGGGCCTGCTGGTGTCGTTGTTGCAGTCGTTGCCGGTTTTTGTGAGCTTGAGCCAACAGATGCTGGTTTAGGTTGTGTTGTCGTCATGGTTGGTCCAGACGGGCCTGCTGGTGTCGTTGTTGCAGTCGTTGCCGGTTTTTGTGAGCTTGAGCCAACAGATGCTGGTGTAGGTTGTGTTGTCGTCATAGTTGGCCCAGATGAAGCTGCTGGTGTCGTTGTTGCAGTCGTTGCCGGTTTTTGTGAGCTTGAGCCAACAGATGCTGGTGTAGGTTGTGTTGTCATCATAGTTGGCCCAGATGAAGCTGCTGGTGTGGTTGTTGCAGTCGTTGCCGGTTTTTGTGAGCTTGAGCCAACAGATGCTGGTGTAGGTTGTGTTGTCGTCATAATTGGCCCAGATGAAGCTGCTGGTGTCGTTGTTGCAGTCGTCGCCGGTTTTTGTGAGCTTGAGCCAACAGATGCTGGTGTAGGTTGTGTTGTCGTCATGGTTGGCCCAGATGAAGCTGCTGGTGTCGTTGTTGCAGTCGTTGCCGGTTTTTGTGAGCTTGAGCCAACAGATGCTGGTGTAGGTTGTGTTGTCGTCATAATTGGCCCAGATGAAGCTGCTGGTGTCGTTGTTGCAGTCGTCGCCGGTTTTTGTGAGCTTGAGCCAACAGATGCTGGTGTAGGTTGTGTTGTCGTCATGGTTGGCCCAGATGAAGCTGCTGGTGTCGTTGTTGCAGTTGTTGCCGGTTTTTGAGAACTTGAACCAACAGATGCTGGTGTAGGTTTTGTTGTCGTCATGGTTGGTCCAGACGGGCCTGCTGGTGTTGATGTTCCAACTGATCCTGGGTTTTGAGAGCTTGAAATGACAGGTGCTGGTTTGGTTGTTGTCAGAGTCGGTCCAGACGATGTGGCTGTGGTTGCAGCTGGCGCAGACGTTGGTTTTGATGTTGTCGTCGTTGTCACAGGAATGTTTTGCGTTGTTGTTGTAGCTACTGGTTGCGTGACCGGTCCTGTGGAAGTTGTCACTTGTGGTTCGGTGACTGGAGGTGGCTGTGTTGTAGTTTGCGGAGCTGCAGTTGATGGCTTGGTTGTAAGTGTTAACGTTGTTGTTACAAGTGTCGTTGAAACTGTAGTTGCTGAAAAAATTTTTTTGTAATAATTCGTTATTTATAAAATTATCAACCTTCTGGGGTAAGAACTTGATTAATTTTTTGGGACACATCTTCAGTTGCGTTGGTAGCAATGTTATGAGAATTTTGATCTCCATATTGATCTTGCATTCGGGTTGCATTCATTGAAAGTGATACGATAACATATTTTTTCTGTTCGGCTTTCTTGATACTGTCACGGACTTGTTTCATATCTTCATCGTAGTTCCTGAAATGATAGTACTATTGGATTTCTATGATTTTTGGTGAAATCGGTCCCGGTTTTTCAGTTTAAAAAATATTTATAGAAGAAAATTTATTGCAAACTAACTTGTATGTCGTAGAGCAAGGTGTGAAAAAAACTAAATCCGAATTAGCATGTGCTGACGGATTGTAGCTGTTGAAAGCTCTGAAATTTCAAAACCTGTTGTGAAAAAAAACAAAATGACTTACGAAGCTTGACTGATGGTAACCGATTTCGTTGTTTTCAATGCATCCAGCTGAGCCAAGACGGAATCTTTACTAGCGAGATTACTCACCTAGTGTTAAAAATGAATAAAATGTTTATTATATTTAGCTTACAGTGGCGGAGTCTGCATATGGCATAAAGATGAAATTGGTGTCAGATGAAACACTGTTTATGAAGTTTCTCATTTGGTTTTTATTCTGTAAAAGGAAAGTCATACGTTATCAAAAATTTCAGTATTATACTAACCGAAGTGAAATTACAAGAAGATGATGAGTCAACATCCCTTTTAAAACGGAAACTAGTCATTGGCTCCTCCAAGTTTGAATTGCAGAGACCCAAAGTAATGACACGACCCTCAGGTGCTGAAATATATATATTTTTAAATATTTTTAAAGTTTAAATCGTTCAAAAATGTGTTCCTCAAAATATAACAATACCTTCACCCTTGCTTCGACTAACGAGGACAATTGTCAATATAAGGCCAGCCACTAGCGCAACGGCCACCACTACTATAAACACGAGACCTATGCCACGTGGCACCCTCATATCTGGAAACAGTTGGATTAATAAAGCAACATACAAACACCAGTTTCTTTTTTATGACGTTCTTGTCAAAATAAGTTTGAAAAAAAGAGCTTTTAGAGATGTCGTGGTGATTATTGAGAACAGTGACGTATCAAACAAGTTCTGATTATGGTATAGCTTCGGTTATCATAGCGAATTCAGTTTTTTTCTCTGTCTTAACAAACATAGTTATAAATACATTCTCAACGAATTTTTCAAGTATAATGATTCGATCAAGAGTTTAAAAGCTGATATGTATAAAAACTTACGCCAATTCTTATCAATAAACAAATGCTGATAAAAGCCTTTTCCACAATTGTTTCACAAACAACAAATTGCAAAAACTTCAAGAGTCTAGCAATAGAAATATTTAAAAAACTAGAAAAAAAGTGTCACAAAATTAGTAGAGTTCAAATATTTTTGAGTATAATTTTTTTCACGAACAACTAAACAAAGAAAAAAGTTTTTAAACTTTTTTGGTTAGCATGAAAAGATGTTAGTGACAAAATTTTGCAATTTTTCGAAAGAGGTAGATTGATCATTCAATTTTTTTAGAAAGCAGCGTTGATAAATCACTTGCACAACAAAAATAATTTCCCGCCAAGTTTTGCAGAGAATTGTATTGTTGAATAAGAAAAACCGGCATCTGAAAGTTTCGCAGATAGCGCTCGTGTCGGTTTACGAGGCTCCGCTTCCCAAATCCGATACTGTACTTAACGAAACTAATTTCTCTTTCAAATTCTCAGGTGTCAGTTTCTATTTTTTCAAATTACAGTATTGTTTTTCTTAAACAGCAAAAATTACGGAAAATGAGTTTTGCTAAATTTGGGTACGAACTCGTATGAGGGTTCAGAACAACTCGAAAATAGAAATAAGTTTGTGAAAATAGAAATGATTAACGAAAAAGAAACAAAACGTACAAACAAAATGGGAAATATGTTTTTCAAGTCATAATTCATCTATTGGCATCTATGAACAAAACAAAGAAATTAGGAAGAAAAAAAAATAAAAAATAAGATCATGTGTCGAGTTTAACCTGCCTCTCAAATTTTGTAAGCGTAGAGCTACGCCCTTCAGACATGGCGCATCAATGAATTGGACTCCACTAGTGCCACCTCTCTCTAACATATAATTTTTATCACCGTTTTACGCTCCTCACTCTTCACTTCCACTTCGACTCCAAAAAGTTTCTCAAGGTAACTGATAAGACTGAAAATTCTTGAATGTGTCACCTTTTGAGTATTCAGTGCTATTATCGCAAACTCTTTTCTTCTGCAATACATACATACGCTCACGCATATGTCCATTGGCAAATTTTGAGGCGTGAAAATAGTTTTTTTTTTTCTTAAGACTTTGGTAATACTGTTATAATCTTTCAGAAAAGTGAGAAAATTAAAAAGATAGGAAGACTTAAGAAAGTTGTGAAACTGGAAAGTTGCAGAGGGGAATTAGCAATTCGGAGAAATTTTTTGCAAAACGATAAAAACTGATATTCATAATAAAGAAAAACAAATGAAATAAATTTTAGGAATTAAGTTTTCTCATCTCATAGAAATCAAAAAAATTCGGGAGGAATTTTGGAATACTATTTTTCACAGACGAGTTTGGATTTATATAAACTACAACATCAATAAATGAAGACAAATTTGAATTATTCTGTACAAGGAGACCTAAAATGGGCTAGTACAAATCAC